TGATGACGCTAAGCCGCCGATCGGCGTCTGGCCGATTCGAGGGTCGGTACAAAAACGGCCGGCGGCGGACGACCGGCGGGCTGTCGTCAGGGGAGAGCGGACGTCCGACCGGCCCGGCTCCGGCCTGGGCCGGCCCTGCCCGGCCTGGACCGACCCTACCCGGCCTGGACCTGTCCTTCTTCGGCCTGGACCTGCCGTGCTCGGCCCGGGCCGGCCCTCTCCTACCTGGACCAGCCTGGACCGGCCCTGCTCCGGCGGCGTCGGCTCCCCAGGATGCCGCTCGCGACGCCACGCGGGCGGGGCGGGGCGCGGTGGCGGGGACCGGCAACACCATTACCGCCGCCGCAGCGTGATGCATTCCAAATGAGGCCGGATGGAGGGCCCGCTGTGACCGCCTGCCAGTGCTGACCAGCCACGTCCTTGGTCAACGGGAACTGAGGATGAGTGCCGTGGTCAGCAGGCGCCGAACTTCCGCGGTCGTTGGGTGCTGAGGTCGTTATTATCAAATGCAGCATCATCCCAGGTTTGGCTGCTGCTGACATCTTGCAGCTCTCCATATGAGTTGCTGTGAACATCCTGGAAAGGAATGGTGAGCTAGTCTGTGTGAGATGGTCACTTCCGTGGTCACGGGGTACTGGTCGGCGGGAGATGGTACTTCCGTGGTCACTGGGTACTGGTCGGTGTGAGATGGTCTCGTCTGTGGACCCTAAGTACTGGTCGATGGGTGATGGTCACTTCCGTGGTCACTGGGTCCTGGTCGGCGTGACATGGTCACTTCCTTAGTCACCGGGTACCCGCTTGAGTGAGATGGTCACTTCCGTGGTCACTGGACACTGACTGGTGTGTGGTCGCCGGCTGCCTATCACTTCTGTAGTTGACAGATCCTGACCGGTACATTTTGTGATTGGTCGGTATATATCAGCCACTTGCTTGCTTACCTAGCACCAATATGGCACTTCCACGTTAAACAGATGCTTGGGAATGTGGTGTGTGGTGTACGAAATCGTCATCGGTCTTGATGATCTACGAGATAATCGATGTGTGTTACTCCCTGCGCTGTGTTCAACAAGCGTTTTCGGTGTCGATTTCGCCTGTGTTTTCGTGGGGTGCTGATGATTCCACCGATCTGAGATGTTCCTGGCGCGTGCGGTCACGGACAGTTACACCACACCGCTTCATGAGGAAGTCGGGCCATTTCCTGCCAGACTTCCTGCCCCACCCTGTCATTTCCGTGGTCAGGAGGCCCCAGTCGATCACGCGGTGGTCAGCAGGCACCGATCGATTGCGCTGTTGTCGGGAAGTGCCGACCAATCATATCCACCACATGTAACGATCGATTATCGCCAAAAGAAGCGGGTTGTCTCACTGGCAGCTGGATAAAATGGTGCGGGCGGACTCACCCGGCCCCCGTCAGGCCGGCCTGGTCCTCGAAGTGACGCGGCACATTCTTGGGCCCCGTGGGTGAAGTTCGTTGCTCCTCTCCGGTCACCTTTTGAATTATGTGGCTGAGGTTAGGAAGAAGACATAGTTTGCGCGCGGAACTGGTCGTTTAAGTATTGTTGTTTTTTATTGTTTAATATATGTTGGCTAATCATGAGCCAACACCAGTGTGATCAATCACGCTTGCTTCTCCAGTTCCTAGAGGCCCGACCCTGATATGCATGTAGGTATTTGTCGACTGTAGGCTACTTTATTAAAGATTAGCTGTTATCCCATGCAATACAAATGGCAGATGTGACTCCTCCATCATCCGTCTACTGTATCCGCTTTCTCGCTTCATCCTGCATCCCCGCGGCGCCTTGTTTTGTCAGGGGCGGGACGCAGGAACCAGCCGCGAGTGGGCCGAAGTGCCCCCGTCCCGACGCCAGGCACATACCCCGCAGACGGGTCCGCGCGCGGACTTGTCCCGACGGTCGGGTGCCCAAGTACACGTAGTCCTGCCCCACCGTTATCCATTGTCGTTTATATCAGAGTCTCGAAACGGTCATAGCTGGTTGAAAGGGTTATTTCGAAAGGGTTAAATTACTAATCGAAGTAACCAAATAACCAGCCTCCTCCATCTTTGGGATCTTGTCTATCTAGCCCTGCTTAGCCAAGATTTCGTGTACAAGGGATTGAAGCATTTGGAAGGGATGGGAGCCTTAAATTCAACATCGTGCTGTGGTATCTTGGATGAATATAAATCCTCCCATGAAGGATTAACCCAACCAAAAGCCTTGTGAGCTTCTCGAAAGTGTCAATCGGCTGTGTTTTTCTGGGTGGAGGTTTTGGTGATGGGCGGAATGACGTCACAGCAAGGCCCCGTCCCATTGGTTGTGTGCCTGCGGGAGGAGCTGGCCCACTCGTCCGAGCACGCGCTGGTCCGGCGGGTGAACAGAACGAGAGCGACGGAACGAGACCTGCTCCACCTAGCGGGAGCCTCGATCCATGTCAAGCGGAAGATTTGCGCTGCGGCGCTGAAGACAACTTTTGCTCTCCGATTATGGCTGGGCGTTTGTGACCATCGCAGCAAACAAATCCTGCTACGGTGCATTTTGTGGAGGAGGGGCTTTTGAGTAAAAACTTGGAAATCCCCACCCTCACCAACTAACCCTACAAAGAAAACGGTGGAATTAGGGCTTTTATGCCGGGATTAGAAAATGAACGCGGTGCATGAATGCGGTCAACCCCCTTCGTCACACAGCCAAAACATCACGCCGCAGAGGGATAGCTGGTCGCCGTGCTCCGTGTTGATACTTGACTGTTTACTTCCCGAGATGACGCAGATTGGCCACATGGAGCCCGGCCTTAGTCAAGCACATCCGACCGCGTCACTGGGATGTTTGGAACCAGCTGCCGTGTCCCAGCGAGTGGCTGACACGTCTCCGGCGTGGCGACACGTCTCCGGCTCCGGCTCGGCCTGTTGACGTCAACGGCGGCGCCCGGCCGGCTGTCGGAGATCGCCCCGGCGGCGCGTCACAGTCACCAGACCATCGATCGCCGGTCCGCCCGCCGGCCCCCGCCCCGCCCCGCCCTCGCCGCCCGGCTCCGGCTCCGGCTCCGGCTCCGGCTCCGGCTCCGGCCGCGGGCGCGGGCGCGACAGCCGGCGTCGCGGGGCTGGTCAGCCGTGTTTGCTCCGCGGCGCTGAGCTGCCGGTGGGCCGTGTCGAGGACGAGCGCGGCGGCGAGGCGGGGCTGCACCGGACCGGTCGATCGGAGGCCAGGGCGGCCGGGCGGCAGGTGTAGCGCACGCCCGCGTCCGTTTGATTGCTAGCCGTCCGACAGCGTAGGCCTATTCGGTGGTAAATGACTGAGTAGGTGGCCAGTAGTGCTCACCGAGTATGTTGGAGCCGACTTCACCAGCTGGCATCACATGCCCTCGCAGTCGATGCGCCCCAAAACACCAGACATCATCGGTCGAGAGGAACGCGTGACGTCAAGGCGGCCGCTGTCAGATGCTGGGAGATACCGGCTGACGTGGGATGTCGGATGGACGATGTTTTTCGGGGCATTCCCGGTCCTGGACTACAGCGACCAGGCGATGTGGCCGGTGGGGTCGTTCAGAGCAAATCGCCTGTAGAGGCTTTCCAGTATGTTGAGTGTTTGGCTAGGCTGAGTGTCGATGGCGGTACCACAACAGATGCTACAACATCTTGGTCTGTTGTTGTTTCGCAAATTACGTTAGGTTTTTCCACGTTGTTGGCTTTTATCACAGGCGCGCTAAGTGTGGGAGGGGCAGTTGGCATTGCTTGTCATTACAGCCTCTACACAGCATGCGGAAGGGAAACTTGTGCGTGAGTGACTCGGCTGCTGCCAATTAATTTTGATATCTGCCGCCAAGTATGCATGTTGGTTGGACGTTTATGTCCGGGAACAACTAATGAAGCAACGACGCATAATTTGGTGGATTAAGCGCGGCACGTCTTAATGGGCTAGCGTGTCATTTTTTCAATGGGGTCCATATGAAGTACTTACTTTGTGACATTGAACAAAGGTAAAAAGGCCGCACTGGCCCGGCACGTTAATCGTCGGCGGCTTAACGACACAAAACCCGTTTGCCCATGGAAATCCGTGGTTCCCGCTACGAATCAGAGGGACAAAAAGAAATTAACAAACCTGTGAAGAGATCGGGCCTACCCATGTTTGGCTTGATTTGGCATGGAACGGGTAGAAAATTCTGAGGCCAATTATCAGTTTTGTGAGTGTAACGTGTTCCAAACAGCTGCAGTGTCATCACTTTTACGCTTTGCCTCTGGCGGCTACGTTATGACCCAAAACATCGCTTTGCCAAAACAAGCGTGTAAAGTATTGCTACTGCTTAACCATAGTCCGTAGGGCCAGCATAGCTAAGGCCGAAGCTTTGCAGAACCTTAATAACGTGAGGAGAAAACCCGGCAAAAATTAATCCCTTGAGTGTACCGCAGCTGTGCTCATATTCGAATCAAAACGTTTTCAGTGAGCGCAGTCTATTTCAATGTACATGTGCAGCATGGCACTGGCAGTAATGCATATTCACACAGCCTTCGCACATTATGATCCGTCCAGTCACAACATGGAAGCATTCGCGCATCGGCAAATACCTAAAGGTATCAACACTGTGCCGATACATAAGCTTCTTCAAAACGCGATCCCGGATATTCCTGTCACACGCTAGTGGTTCGCAACAATGTGAGTGAATCTGTTTGGCTAAAAGTGAAGCTTTGCCTAGCCTGAAAAGACATTAAAGTCAGTCCCTGTCACCAATTCTCTAAATCACAAAACAACTACGTTTTTGCTCGAATTGTCCATATACTCTGGAGATGCTGTTGTTGAATTGTGATTCCCACATCAATAATGCTTGGGTCACGTGATCTCGTTGCAACCAGCCATCGGGATCAAGGCACTTCTGTCTCTGCGTGTGGTCGGTACAGGCTCTGTTAACACCTCGGCTGCCAGGTCTGCTGACCCAACCCGTCGTCCTCTTCCAGGGTAGTCTGTGTCCCACCGGCGTATCTGCTGACCCGGTTCGTCGTCCTCTTCCAGGGTAGTCTGTGTCCCGCCTGCGTGGCGCATTCTATGGACTGTCCGAATGGCGGCATTGCCGGCTTCGGGGGCGGCTGCGGCGGCGGTGGCAGCGGCGACAGCGTCACGAACGGCAGCATCACCAGCGGCCACAGCCGCCACGGCCGCATCGCCGGCGAGCCGCCGAGCGAGGCGCTCTCCCGCTCCACCATCCTGACCAAGGCCAAGCCGTTCCCGGTCATGGGTGAGTACCGCGCCGACCAGCCCGCCGGCAACGTGCTGGCGAGGGGAGGTCAGATACGGGACGGAGCTGAGTGGAGGGTCAGGACAGACATGAGACTGAGCTGACTGGAGGGTCAGGTCAGGCATGGGATATGGCTGATTCTGTGGTCAGCTCGAACAGACGGAGCGGACTGAATAGTCAGGTCAGATGTTGAATATAGCTGACTGCTCAGCTATATTCTGATCTTATATGGTGATCAGAACAGACGGAGTGGACTGGGGGGTCAGGTCGAAAGTGGCATTTAGCCAGGGTACTGGAATTGGGGCCGGATGCATTTGTCAGCTTTCAGCTCGTTAGGAAACTTCAGAGTCTGAATTCCTGAACTGATCATGTGTCGTCCAGTCGCCCTCGCCAACTGGACGGCACATGGGAGTTGAGCCCAGGTGGCACGGAGTAAAGGAGGTTTTAATTCTGGCCGAGAGATGAATGACAAAGGCTTGTCTGAAATGGCATCCCTCTGTACTGACCGTTACTTTCTTTCGATGGCCTACCTGGTGACCGCCATTGCTGCTGTCTTTACGACTGGTACGAAGGGGTGATGACGTCGAGTGAAGGAGCTTGGACGCTGGTTCTTGGACTCGAATGTGCCGATGGCACGCGGCGAAGGGTTCTCTGAAGTCGTTGACGATTGTTCGTCGCGGTGGCGTGGTTCCACTGCGTGTTAGCTACGCCGAGGCCAGGTGTGGGTGTGGGTGCGGGCGTGTGTGGGTGTGTGGGTGGTTGTGGGTGTGGGTGTGGGTGTGGGCGTGTGGATGTAGGTGTGGGCGTGGGCGTGGGCGTGTGTTGGGGTGTGGGTGTGGTTGTGGCTGTGGGGGTGTGCGTGGGTGTGCTTGGGCGTGTGTCAGTGTGCGTCAGGAGTCTCTCTCTGGGTGTAGACTGAGTGGTTCGCCAGCTACGAATGAAAGGCATCCTCCGCAGACTGCCTGCCTGCTTGCTTGCTTGTGGAGTTGGATGTTTTTTTTTCTTGCGAGGCCCGACGCGGCTACAAACACTTGGTATTAGTTTAGTAACATTGTTGGGGCAGTTGGTGGCCTAGCAACGTTATTGGGGCCGCTGGTCGTAATTTTTACATTACGCCCGGTGGCCGGTATTTATTTGACGATGCGAGAGGTTCGTAACGTTGCATTAGGCTTTCGCATTCGTTTCGTATTCGGATTCGTATCGTTGTAGCAGACTTTCTTGGCTACAGCACCAGGTGGTGTCCACGCACCTGTTGTCGGAGTACTTCTACGGCAAGTTGATGCAGACTTATCCGACGGGCTTCAGCGCGTTTCAACCCCTCGAAGTTGTAGGAAAGGCTGCGGTTACTGATGATGGATGTGACGGTTGATTGTCAAATGTAATGGGACAACCAATGCATAGCGTGTTCCTTTGCCGCGGTTTACGACAGGTTCACACAGGTGTGGGCTTAACCTGCATGTTTCCCATCTGGTTTTGCAAAATACCAAGCAAACTCTGATTGGCGCAGTACCCTGTAGGTTACCACTCGCCAAACATGTCGATGGGTGTACAACTAAACCTTTTGGGTACGTGGGGCGCATTATTTGAAGAGACTGGTCGCACTCCAAGTTATGTTCTTAATGCCATGAGCCATATGGTATCAGCCTTTTTGCTGACCGTTCGCTCTTAACGCTGTATAAGTTTTGCAAAGTCTTTGCTTCATGCTGCGTCCTTTGGGAGGTCACGCCATTTGGTTCATAAGATTAGGGCAATGCATTCTGGTACGATCCCAGCAATACTCAAGACCGTGCAGTTACTCCGGGTCATCGGGGTCAAAAGGGCCGAAATTGCGATATCTGCGCTTTCAGGCGAATGTTTGCTACATGTGCTTTTTAGGAAAAAATGGTAATGAAAAGCTTTTTCGGGGGCATCCGTTTAATGTGCATGTAGCTGATCAGCCGGGAAGGGATGAACTTTAAGAGGCCTTAGCGGCTTTGGTGAGTTACCGACGGATCTCAGACAAAGTACTTAAGAAAAATGTGTCAGAAGTTCGTCAGGGTAGTGCGTTGCATATCAGCTGCGTTGGTCAAAATATTGAAATGAAGAAATACGTATAAGATAAAGTTCGCGTGATGAAATCTTCGTCAGGAAGAAATTCGTAACAAGAATTGTCCCGCGCACAAAATATTGCATGGAAAAAGATCGTACGCAAATGTTCGTCAGTGATAAGAGTTGGTGTGACAAAATTACTGGTGCAAAAGCTTGTATGCGATATATGATACAAGTATGCAACGTTCGTGCGCAAATGTTCGTTTAGAGATAAAGTTAAGCAGAGCAGCAGTCACGTCCGGTGCACAGTTGTTTCTATACAGGAGCCCGGAGTCCAGAGAGAAACAATACACCGCTGTATCCGCTTTGATTAGAAATTTCTTCGCACCCACCCAGTATTGCCCAATGCTCCAACTTTAAAACTGCCCTCCGAATAGAGCTAAAAAGATGTGCAGCAGAATTTTGCACCTTGAGCGAGAACTGTACAGCAAAATTTTGCACCTTGGGCAGAACAACGTGCGGCTGCTTTCCCTTGGTCTTCGCGGGATGACCTGGAGCGCAGAATGCGCGGTGGCATCCTCCGCCCCAGATCATCTCGCGGAGACCAAGGGTGTATTGACAGCGACAAGGACGACGAAGAATATATGTCGTCGACATTTCATCTCTCTTGACGTGATACCCCATAAATTCTGCGCCGTTGGGTGTTCGCGGTGAACCGGACGACAAAGATGGTGCGTGACGTCACAGAGACGCGCATTATCTTTTTCTGCGACTCGATCGGTTTGCAACAGAAATGGCGCAGCAGATTCAATTATGATGTCATTTTGCGTGCGCAGCACCGACCACGGTTGATAGAAATTTTTAACAGGTTACAAATAGCGCAGTTTGCAGTTTCCATTGTAAGAAGCATTCAGAGTGCCTGCAAACGAAAATATTTTGTGTTTGTATGTGCAGTTACTGCCACGACAGTTACGAATAAGGCGAAGGTGTCTCGAAACGATGTAAACAGAAAGCGCGTCGCGCTGCGAACTCGGCTGGAAAACATTCAGAACGTTCTTGGTGCACTGGGAATACACCCCTAATCTCCGCGAAATGAGCGAGCTGGCGGCGCGTGATGTGGTAACGGGATGGTTGATGTGTCCTGGAACACTTTCCATTGGAACTCCCGTAAAGTGATTACGCTTGCAAACTTTGTATCTGGTCCGTGCTTACGAACATTTGTGTACGGACTGCAAAAAAACCGTATTGTGACCAAACAGTTGTTTACTTACAACGCTAACAAACAATTACATATGTACTTAATGCTTGCGACCTTTTGCCCCGACGAACTTTTGTCAATACGAATATTTTACATAAGTACGTAAAACCGTGCCCTATTTGATGACAGATTTCAGCATGCAAACTTCTTACTTCATGTACATCTGCTGACGAGCTGTGTGAGCTATGGCGCAGGTACTTAATGCACACGTACTTCTTTCGTGCAAATTTTTGTCTTAAACACATGGCCGACGCGGCTATAAAGAGGCGCCCCGGGGACAAGAGCACATGAAGTGCACGTACATGCCAGCATGTTGTCGTCTGTACTGGAGTCATCATGACGATGGTTGTGTTGTGTTGTTGTTGGTTGTTTACCCATTTGCCATGAACAAGTAAGCTGCAGATGGCGAGGGTCGCCGCCTGTGCCGCCGTGACGGGCTGATGACCATGCCAGGAACGCGGCCTGGGTGGCGCGACGCTCATATGGCATGCCACCTGACCAGATGGGCCGCTGCGCTGCGCCAGACGTGGCAGCACTGGCTTATATCGATTGGCGACGACACCCTCGGGAAGCACCATGAATGCAGGGAGCAAGAGGTGGGGCGGAGGACTAGGTGGTGCCGTCGTCACCATGGTCTCAGGTGGCGCTGTCATCGCCATGACCTAGGTGGCGTCGTCGTTGCCGCGATCCTAGGTGGCGCCGTCGTCGCTGTCCCAGGCGGCGCAAGCACTGGTACTGTTCGCGGAGAGAGCTGCTGCTGCAGCCTGGTGGCCACAACGGCAGTTACTAGTGTTTTCTCTGATCACGAGATGGTGGTGAAGATAGATCTGCCGTCAAGCGTACATGTAGTGCTTCTGAACAGTGTCGCAGCGACCCAGCGAACTTTCGTAAATTTGAATTTTAGATGATGAGGTATAAAAGGTAGGGTTGCTATTACGCTGTTTTGTTGTTCAAGCCATGATATCGGTAGGGCGTAAGCTACCGTGGTGGAAAGCAGCCGGCGTTGCGGTTGATGGTATTGCGCACGAATGCAGCCCCGCCCCGCGAGGCGGAAATTTAGTGTTGTGTTACTCGCACGATTCAGCAGGTGACATTTTTGGTACCTCGTTTTCCCGCCTGCTTTTGCAATGATATGCAAGCCAAGATGATGTGCGGCCAAAAGGCCATCCCGGAAACGGCGGTTATGTTAGGGGACGGATTCTCAGCAGACGATATGAATATGTTGCAATATACAAGACCCGTTAAGCTGGACTGCCATGGAGCTAATATGCGGCATAAGGTTAATCCTTGACACAGAGTCGAGTGCTGGCGGGACCTGACCATGCAGAATTGCGCCGTCCGCTTCCATCCCGGCCATCCGGGGGAGAAAGCTGGAGCTGGCCCTGGTGCCTGTCATGCCACCTGTCGGCGGGTAACGGAACCAGGAACGACCAAGCTGTTTATTTTGAAATTCAATGACAACGTCATGGCATCAGATCAAACCAATGGACTTTACATTTGGCCTGATTATGAGCCAACAGCATGAACTTAACTCTCATGGGTCTGAATTAGTGAAGTCCGATGACCGGCTCGAAATGCCAGATGCTACACGTTGATTTAGCAAACTGCCCAATCTCGGACCACGTTTCGTGATTTCAGATTTACGTCCTCTCAAGCTTGCACTATTTTATGACGGCGTAAACACTCAGCCTCCACATAAGGATAGCGTTTCTAC